TATATATGTAAGTCCAAAAAAAAAAAAAAATTTCATGTTTACGACCAGACTGTTGAGCATCATTGATGTCAAAATTTCCTGAATGAAATTTGGTAAACCAATTTTGACAGATGCGTTCAGTCAAGGCATCATCCCCATAAACACTGGAAATTTTGCTATGAGCTTCTGTAGCAATACAATACAACAAAATATGCCGATAATGAACGATATTTTCTTCCATATTGACAGTGCAATAGCAAACACAATAGTAAGCTTGTTTCAACAAGAGTTAACTGATATACTTGTTGACTTATTACAAACAGAATAAACAATCAACCTTAGGGATTAATTCATCAGATAAGAAGTGTATCATAGAGACAAAAAAATAAACTAAAATACCGAAAGGACTTATTTGGCAACCCAATACTCAAACCCAAGAGCGATTTATTTGGAAAGTAAGTAACCTGACTGAAGGAAAGTATCGGTCTTGTTAACTCCGAACAAACAACAAGTTGAATGTTTCCTTTGGATTTTGTAGTTCCGTCCATTTTACGAGTGAAAGTATATATCACTACTATTAGTGCAAAAAGTCATTTGTAAAAATTTTCAACTTTTATTCTATTAGTGCTAAATGTTACATTTTGTAGTCTGAACCAGATATAAGTTGAATAGCAGATGACAATAAAATATGAAATTATACTAATAAAGCATAAAGAAATAATGAGTTTTTGTGCACTTTAGCTAAATAATCAATTTTTACATAAGATCTTTTGCACTAACAGTGGTGAAATGCATGATCAGAATGCATTTATTCATTGTTTTTTAATTAAGGATAATCAAATATGGAGTGGAATATGGAAGATGGTCAAATACGGCACTCTTTCGCATTTTAATATTAACTGATAAACGAAATTCGTGGATATCAAACCCGCGAATGTTGAAGGGTAACTGTATTTCCGAATCGGCTTCTTCCAAAGATTTTATTCCCATACGAAAAATTGTATACCTTGTAATATTTTTATATTTTAGGCAATGAAAACGGTCAGGAAGCTATTCTGTCCTTACTTGGCAGGTGTTTTTTTTCATTATGTTTGTTTGACTTTGTTAATTTTATAATGGTCATAAATAGATTAATCTAAAATTAATATTTGATTGCAATATTTTATTTATTTGTTTTAGGTCCTAGTCCGTGGTACAGACCCATTTTTATCGAATTATTAACATCCGCCTGAAAATTCGTAAATAGCTTCATCTTATTGTAACCTACAAATATTTTATTTTCGAAAACTCTTGGAATTGGGGCGTTTTCAATCTGGAGAGGGGCAAACTTTGTCTATTTAATTAGGTACTAAAAACTCGTAAATACCCATTTACTTTCTACTTTGATCGTAAGGTAATTTGATCTGAAAATCAATAAAAAATGTGGCCTACAAAAATATTTAGCTGTCATTCCTATATAATCTCGCCATTTTGAAAATTTGGCTATGTAGGTCACACCAAATGGCTCAATATTTTTGAAGGCCAATTTTTTATCGATTTTGTGTTCAAATTATCTTACGGTCCATGTAGAAAGCAAATGCGCATTTACGAGTTTTTATACCTAATTAAATAGCCTTTCTCGGGTGCTAATTCGAATTTCCTATTATATTCTTATTTATATTTGTTACATCTAAACAGTATATGCCACGGTTCTCCTTGCGCTGTTAAGAAATTACTTCGTTCGCTAATTATTATTTCAAGGAGGGATGCCCACTCCCCCCCCCCAAGGTAGATGGGAAAACTTCTTCCCCTCCTTCCAAGATATTTTCTTGCTCTCTTGTTAAAAACAATGCAAACTACATAAGAATTAAAAAAAGTATAGCCCATAAACTATCAAACTTTCAGTTTTAGATTCTTTGCTTGTTCCCTGGTATGAAACTTTTCATTCTAAAAATTCAAAACCCTCCCGAAATGTTCTTCCCTCAAAAATACAAAACCCCGTTAGAATGTGCCCCCCCCCAAAAAAAAAAACTTTTCATGGCGCAACTTGCCCATTCTGGGCACCTCTGAATCCAAGGTGTTACAATTCCTATTATATTTTCTCGCTTGAGTCGCCGATTTAGAGCAAACCAAACCGCGGAGACAAGACTTACAGTAGATAGTTCTTGATTATGACCTCAACCATTTTTATTTGTGATTCTCAGTCGTTTCTATTTTTCTATTCCTTTACTGTTTTTTTATTTAAAATTCTTAAGAGATCCGTCAAACAAAAATGTCCGAAAACAAAAATTGTCCTAATAACAACATTAAAAAAAATACTAATGACAATATTTAATTTATTTTTTCAATCAGCGGAACCAACAATCTCGACCCCCATATTATTGCTACTCGTGGGTCTTTGTTTTTACGCTTTCTTATGTCATTGTTTTAAATTAAACACTTATTGCTTTTCTGCGTATAATTAATAATTTCCGTATTGATCAAACCAAATTCAAGTATTATTTCTTAATTAAAAAAAAACACTTGGTTATTTCTTAATTAAAAAAAAACACTTGGAAAAACAAGTGTTTTTTTCTTTTAATTTTTATTTGCACTTGTCAACTGCACTTATTTAAAATGAATAATAATTTCATGTAGTGGTGGATCCAGGAATTTTGTGAGGGGACCGTACTTATGTAACAGATTAATTCCGTATACCAAAGATGTATATCTTTTTATATTGCAATGATTTTTATTAATCTACCTTTATATATTATATCTTATATATTACGACTTGGACTAATGATTAATACATTGGTCACTGAGAATCAGCATTTGGCTTAATATCTTCATAATTGCTCTTTTCTTAAAGCTGGATAGTCAAAGAATAATAAAACATCAAAAAATAATTGGCTTGTGCAGTAAAAAACATCAGTAAAGTCAATTTTTTAAACAAAAAAAATTTTCAAGTTGAAAATCAAGCGTCGTTTGTAATTAAACAGCCAACAATAACGCAAAACGTGCTGAAATAAAAGATCTGGGGAATATAGTTTTCTCTCTTAAACAATAATTACTTTTTAAAATATTTGAAGAAGTTCCGTAGAAAATGCAGTACTGGCGTGGGTGCCTACAGGCCTCTACTATATCATTCATCGTTTTTGGCACATTATATTGTTTATATTAACGAAAAAATATTAATGCAATAATTTAACTGTCCAAAAAAATTAAACAATTTTTAAAAAAAATTAACAATAACTGTGTAACCAGGTTCTAATGCACCGAACAAATAGTTCTTGAGTGAGTGCAATAATAGATTAGCATAAGCTCAGGAATACATTATCTTATTGCCTAACTATTAAACTGGATTAATATTTTCCAGTGGGTGAAGCTAATCACTTATTCAATAATTTTATAGATGGGTAAGTAGTCGACTGTTAAATTATCAAAATTTCTTTAATATGTTAGCCGAAGTTTCGAACATGTGGGCCATCATCTGGGTTATCGTTTGTTAAGTCGAGACAAAATCTACGGAATTGAGTTGGCTAACCTAATAAAGAAATTATGACTGAAATTCCTGACAATATTGTTTCATCTCTTTTGTTAACATAAAATTTATTGAACTCTTGTCTCAACTTCCAAACAATAGCCTTGATGACCCACATATTTGGGCCGAAAAGTCGGCTGTCGCTGAATTCGCTTGTACTAAGAATGCATGTGAGAGGTTAGCTTTCTGATGTGAGTTTTGACTGGGATACAATCGCGGATCCAGGATTTAATTTTTTTTTGGGGAGGAGACTTCAGCCCGAAAGGTTTATATATATATATAACGATAATATATTGAAAAAAAGTAACTAACTATATGAAATGTAGTTTAAGTGATTCTTGAACTCCTACTAAATGTAATTACATGAACAATAATACTTCCAGCGATAGTTTTTAATATTTTTTTTCTATAAGACATAAGTTATATTTTACCATTACTGTGCTGGGATGTACTAGTATTTAAGTAATCACGTCTTATCATAAACTGCTGTCTCATCCTCCATATTTGTTTTTATACTACATATGTTATTTTTAATGTTAGGTTATTCCCACATATATTATTAAAGTAAGGCTCGAAATCGGTTTTGTACCAAATATAAGCTCCTGTCATGCTCAAATATCATAAATGGGCTACCGTTGGTTTCAGAATTTCACGGAGGGTTAGCGAATCGTATTTTCCACTTTTGTTTTTCTTTCTAAAATAAATAAAGTCGATAAAAACATTTTGCTAGGCTGCAATACTGGAACGGTGGTAGGTCTGTAGATCGATACGAGACAAATTGGATCTTGAAGATTTTGATGCGTACAGCAAGACCCCGATCCTGCGTTTTTAAGTCCAAAAACATAGTATTTTCGAGATAACGCAAGGCATAGGGTTCGCATCCACACAACCTTACATTAATTGTAGTACTGTCATTGAATACATGTCTCATTTCGTCGACTTGAGGTCTCTTTGTTCGAAAGAAGAGGAGAGTTTATATTATTTTTCGATGGTGTTTTTGATCGGCAAGCCATATCATCGTTTATTTTTCATTCTCTTTCTCATTCTCCTTCAGGCGGGCAAAATAGTCCAATCATCCCGAAAATTCAGGCAAATAAGTTATGAAAGAAAACAAACTTTATTTGTGAATAACTAAAAAATTACACACTTTTCTCCCATAGTTATGTCCATGACTATATAAAAGATTACTAAATTCCCTACAAATGAAAAAAAAGGCATCGAAATCGTACAATTTTCAGCAAAGACACAGCTTACTGAAATTTGTAAACATGTTGGTTCCAAATAAAAATGAAGATTTAAAATAATATTTGTTTTCTTTGGCGATTATATTTAACATAAAAGTAACATTTGATTTCTTTATCTTTTGATACGTTGCATTATCTTATTTTCTTATTAATTTGGCATTTGATAACAATATGCTGTGCGAATTTTTCGCACAGGCCTACTGGTTAAATAAAATTTCCGCGAATTTAACCCTGAGTAAATACACGTTTAAAGGACAAAAGGAATTTATTTTTACCAATGACGTAGAGATTAAGTGTTAATGACGAAGGTCTAGACGTGCGGGTTCGACTGTAACAGCAGACTTCCCGACTCCCAGATGTCGTTCATCGGCGCCGCCTGTGCGATCTTCTCCTTCTGATCGTCCGCCTCGTGGCGGCCTTGGTCCTTCTGTACCTGGTAGGTCTTCTTCTACTTCTGAACCGAAGCCGAGTGTACTTTTCCAGAGCCCTCAGACCTCCGCAGTGTTTGCACACAACGGGGATAAGACCTGTCGCATCTAGTAGCAGCCCTGTTTTGCTATCTGTCAACTTAAAATTTTTTGTGTCCATGTTGGAAATTTTTTTATTTCATTGTGAAACGAACATGTGTTTGATTATAGTATATAACAATATTTTTTTAAACTATCGATTTTCCAAAAAAAATGTTATATTTTTTTCAATATTTTATAATTAAAATAAATGTAATCATACATTCTCTTGTTTTTCAATATTATTCTTATCATAACATTCTTATAGCATATTTAAAATATTTATTTTTGTAAGAAATATTATTGATTTGATAATGAAATGTAATTGATTTCATAATCTTAAAGACGGATTTAGACCTAGCTTTTTTATTTTATTTAATTTTTTTTCTGTTCTTCCCTACCTCGTCTTTTAAGCTATACGGGATTTTCCCGGGCCGGAGTAGGAAGACGAGGAATTTAAATTCCCCTCTGGCACCGGGACGCGAACTCGTACTTTTTTTCAATCTCAAAACTTAATTATCTGGTTGCCGGGAAACTCCCTTTGCTGTGCACACACGTTAACCTATTCGGCCACCCATCGGGCATAGGGGCCGAAACTAGCTCAACCCTCTAATCCTCTTTTCTCAACGTTTTGTCCCGAACACTAGGATCCTCGCCCTAACGTATCGGCTATCGAGTATTATGTTCGGAGCCATTATTGTCACAAAATTATAATTTAATTTTGACTCCATCTATTTTGCTCTGAGCTACATAACCAAGCCATCTTAACTTCTATGCCTTCATATCTTGGAATATTGATTGAGCAGTTTCTGTTAACTGTTCTTTATTGCAGCTCCTCCTCTGTACTGTATGTTATAACTATTATTCCAGATCGCTCAAGTTCTCGTGCGGAAGATTTTCTTATCAGGTCTTCCATGAATCTTTTCCTAGGGTGGTTGTTAGTATACAGGTCTCGCAGCACTATATTAAAACCAAACTTTGTTCCTTGATGTCTAAAGATGAAACGCGCAACGCATCTGATGAGCTATTATAAAACTTATTAAGTGATTTTTTAACGGAGCTTCAGTTAGAAAATCATTAAGATTAATAATAACAAAAACCGTATTTATTATATCACCGTAAGCAATAAAAACCTCGTTACTCCATCTGTTTTTGTAAACCACTTAATTCCAGTCTCTAAGCTATGTATCTAAGTATATACCTAGAGATAATTGAAAGTATATCTGTATATTCAACCTTTAAATGATTACGGATCGTACGACTACTAGTTCTTAAACGTTATTTTCCATTGTAAACTTTACTGAAATAAAATAACCTGATTTTCATTGCCTGCCCTAGATAAGTCATAAGTTGTCACACGAACTTTTAACTGGATAATTTTGGGATTTCACAATGGAAAAATTCATCAAATTATTCCCCAATTTAATTTTATAAAAGGTCACATGACGATTTTTCCAATAAACGGTCGTTGATTCCTAACCATTTAAATATAGTATCAGATCTAGAATTATTAAACCACATTAAATGTATTTATTTGCGTTGGTTTGAAAAATTAAGCAGTGGAGATACGACGTTGGAAATGAAGAAGTGCTTCGACGGATCGGTAATGGATATTGATGAGGTTCTGCAGGAAGCTGTTGACTCAAATCCGTCCACGAGCATTCGCTAACTTGCCAGGTAGTGTGTTGTGTTAGCCGCCATCTACTCTCCATGAAAAATATGAAAAGAGTGAAAAAGAGCAGTAGTCTTGTCTCTCAGGAACTTACTCCTCAGCAATCAGCTAAGACGTTAGCAATTTGTGAACATTTATTAAAAAACCCTTCTGATATGAGACTGCTGCCTCATCCACCATATAGTCCAGACCTCCCACCACCAGATTACTACTTATTTAGATCCATGACACATTTTCTTCAACGGAAAAAATTTGATAATTTTGCGGAAGTGGAAATTGCGGTCCAAGGGTTCTTTGACAGCGGTCCCAAAGAATGGTATCAGCGAGGGATCGAGCAATTGGCTAGCAGATGGCTAATGATGGTAGCAAGATAACAATGGACTATACTTTGAGTATTAATCGTATTTTATATCAATGAAATAATAATACAAATATTTGGTTAAAAAACGGTCATTTTTTTTTTAATACACCCTATATATAAATCAATCACTGCATTTGATGAAGCACGAAGAAAAATATTGTGTGCCATAAAAAAAAAAAAAAAAAAATCTTAGAGAAATAATATATATAATATATATATTCAAGATGATTGATAACAACATAAATTGTAGGATCGATATTAGTTTCTGTAGTATATTGTAATGATATAATAGATAATAATAATGATATTAAAAAATTACTATTTTCAAAGTAATCACTGAAAATTACGATTAATTATAAGGTATTTATTTTTTCCACGAACCAGCCTGCAAGGACCACGCGAATATCATTTCCGTTTCCTCTTCACACCCTCAGCCTTCCTCTTACTCCAATACCCTCTCATCCTCCTGGACTGTTCCTTAGCGAGGCTCTTCCTTAGTCCATTTTCTATCTCGCCTATCCATCCCACCTACAAGAACCCCAACTCCTTTCAGTTTTTCCCTTAAAAAGCTCTCTATTCACGCAATATTTATCCGTGATTTTTAACCTGTCTAGTTCCTCTTTTATTTGTTTTACATATCCCTGTTAAGATATGTAAAATAAGGTTATGTATATATGGGACTACTGTAAGTAAGGATAACAGGTGTGAGGTTATATGAATCTAGATGTGTAAGCTTGTTAATAAAACGTGTAAGCTTGTTAATAAAACATTTAATCATCTAGTGATTATTATTTAAATAAAGACATACAACATGGAGCTGCGGACGAACTAAGGATAATATTACATACTAAGATAGTTGGGATAACAATAATGGAATCGTTTATGCAAACCCCAAGATCCATGGATTGGAATAGTGATCCTGCTCAAGAGTGGACTGAATTTAAAGGCAGATACGAAATTTATATTGAAGCAATAGGAGGGAATAATTATGAAGAAAAACGTAAGTGTGCTATTTTTAAACATTTAGCAGGAGAAAAAATAATAAAAATTTTGAATAGTTTGCCTATTAAGTTAGAAACGCTAAAAGACATAATTAAGCACCTGGATGACTATTTCATTCCTCAGAAGAATATTATTTATGTAAGATATAAGTTTTTTGGTTGTTCACAGTTAGAAAGGGAAACGTATAGTGATTATACAGTTAGGTACACTATACCAGAAGGGACAGGAAGAGTGTAAGCCAAGGGGAGCCTTCAGCTCACAAGATTATAAAATGCAGATATTGTGGGTTTGAACATCCCACAGGAAAATGTCCTGCTTACAGACAGACATGTAGAAGATGTAGAGGGCTTAATCACTATGCTTCCCAATGTAGAAGGAGTGTAACCAATCCAAGGATGGTTAAAGAGATTCAAGAAGGATACCCATCTGAGGTTGATGACTTTTTTATTAATATGGTAAGAGGGAATAATTCTGAATGAGAGTGGAAGGCTAAGTTGCTGCTTTGTGGAAAGGAGGTGACTTTTAAATTGGATACTGGTGCACAGGTGAATGTGTTACCTGAACGAGTGGCTCATCAACTTGGAGTCCAAGCAGAGCCCTCCACGAAAAATCTCACTACTTACTCTGGTGAACGTTTGCTTGTAGTTGGTAAGTGTACTTTGCTTTGCTCTTATAAAAATAAGGAATATCATTTAACATTTGCAGTAGTGAGCACACCATATGCATCACCATTGCTTGGACTGGCAGGATGTGTAGAGTTAGAATTGGTTAGTAGAGTGAATACAGTAGACTTAGAAAGGTTAAAAGTTCATTATGCTGACCTTTTTAAGGGTGTCGGAAAATTAAAGGGCAGTGTTCACATTCAGGTTGATCAGAATGTGGAACCAGTAGTGCATCCACCTAGAAGAATACCATTTCCTTTAAGGGATCGAGTCAGGGAAACCCTAAAAAGTTTAGAAAACAAAGGAATAGTTGCTAAGGTAGATTATCCAACAAGTTGGGTTAACTCTTTAGTGGTGGCCTATAAGTCCAATGGAGATGTCCGACAGTATTTGGATCCGAAAGATTTGAATAGGGCCATAAAGCGATGTCACTTTCCTCTCCCTACTATTGAAGAAATAGTAAGTCGGTTATCCAATGAGAAATATTTTAGTAAATTAGATGCAATGTCGGGTTTTCGGCAAATAGCACTGGATAAGGAGAGCGCAGATCTATGCACTTTTAATACACCTTGGGGAAGGTATAAGTTTTTGCGTCTTCCCTTTGGAATAAGTTGTGCCTCAGAAATGTTCCACAGTAGATTCAAGAAAATTTTTGGAGATTTGGATGGTTGTGAGATTTTTGTGGATGATATACTGGAAGAGCACGATGCTAAGTTGAAGGCTGTTCTAGACAGAGCTAGGGAAGAGAATGTTAAATTTCAAGAGAATAAGTGTATGTTTGGAGTAAAAGAAGTAGTGTACATGGGTCATCGTTTGTCTGAAAGGGGAATACAGCCAGATAAAGACAAGTTAACAGCCATAGAGGGTATGGCTCCTCCTGAATCCAGAAAAGAACTGGAAAGATTTTTAGGTTTAGTGAACTACCTAGGAAAATTTATTAAAAATTTAGCCCAAATTATGGCCCCTTTACGCCTTTTATTGCAAAAAGAGGTAGAATGGCATTGGGAGGAGAACCAACAGACATCCTTTCAGGCTCTGAAGCTGGCTTTAACTACTGAACCTGTCCTTAGATATTATGATCCTGGTTTACCAGTAACTGTGTCTGTAGATGCTTCACGGGACGGTCTAGGAGCAGTTTTAATGCAAGATCGTCAGCCACTTGCATATGCTTCAAGAAGTTTAACTGAAACTAAAAAAAGATACGCTAACATTGAGAAGGAAATGTTGGCTGTTGTATTTGGATGCAAGCGTTTCTATAGCTATACTTATGGTCACCCTTTTAAGGTCGAATCGGACCATAAACCCTTAGGAATGATCCACAAAAAGCCTATTCATCTATGCCCTCCTAGGTTGCAAAATATGTTATTGAAATTACAAAGATATGAATTTGAATTAATTTACAAACCGGGAAAGGAAATGTGGGTTGCTGATACCCTGTCAAGAGCAAGTTGACAATATTGATTGATACCCTGTCAAGAGCAATTGGAAAATCTAAACAGTAGGAAGAAAAAGAAGCATTTGTCATTGGTTTGATTAAGAACATGCCTATTTCTGATGAAAAATGTGACATTGTTCGCAAAGAAACCGAAAAAGATGAAGAACTGAAGGCAGTATGAGAGTGGATAGATGAAGGATGTCCCAAAACTAAAGATCCGTTGCTTGGAAGATATGAGTCGGTTAAGGACGACCTGACATTTTGTGATAGAATTATCTTCAAAGGATGTCAGATAGTAGTACCTAAGTCCTTAAGGATGGACATGTTAAGGAAAATACATTATGCTCAGCAAGGGATGACAAAATGTTGTGCCAAAGCTAAAGGGCTTCTTTATTGGCCAAACATGAAAAATGACATTAAAAACATGGTAAAACATTGTGAGATATGTCAAAAATATGCCAATTCCCAATGCAAGGAGCCTATGGTGTTGCAGGAGGTAGCAGAAGGACCATGGAGAAAAGTAGCATTGGACATCATGGAGTTGCAGGGCTTGAAATATTTAATTGTTGTGGATTACTATTCTAAATTTTGTGAGGTATCTATGCTTGAGGACTTGGGGTCTAGCTGTCTTATCAAATCTCTAAAACAAATTTTTTCAAGACATGGAATTCCTTGTGAGGTAATCACAGATCAAGGATCACAATTTAGTAGTTCTGCATTTTTTGAATTTGCAAAGCAGTGGGATTTCAAAAGTAGCATGGTCAGCCCAAAGCATCAACAGGCAAATGGATTAGTAGAACGTCATATACAAACCATTTAAAGGATGCTAAAGAAATCACTAGAAGCTCGAACTGATCCGTTTCTGTGCTTGCTCGAATTAAATAATTCACCATTTGCAGATATGCCATCCCCTGCTGAACTACTGATGAGTAGACACCTGAGAGGAGTCTTGCCCCTATCTAATAGTCATTTGCAATCAAAGGTGGTAAAGGAAAGTGAGATAAAGAAGATACTTCAAGAGAGGCAGAAAAGGAGCAAGGGTTATTATGACAGAGGGACAAAACCTCTCAGAGACTTGCAGGTGGGAGAAAAAGTTCAGATGCAGACAAGTCCGTTTTCGGATTGGGTTCCAGCCAAGGTGATCGGGAGGATGGATCGCCCAAGATCATATTGCTTGCGAAAGGACGAAGGTGGGGGAGTCATAGACAGAAATAGAAAGCACATTAAA